AGAAAGACGTACATTTGGGGGCACCTGGGTGGCTCAGTCAGTTAAGCGTCCGGCTTCAGCTCTGGTCATGATCTCAAAGTTCGTGGGTTCAAGCTGACAGCTAGCTCAGAGCCTGGAGCTTGTCTTTGGATTCTGTATCTCCCCCTCTCTCTGACCCTCCCCTGCTCACACTGTTTCTGTCTCTCTCTCAAAAATAAATAAAAGACATTAAAAAATTAAAAAAAAAAAAACACGTACATTTGGATACACAGGTGTGGCAAGGGCATTCTAATGGGCAGTGTCATGGAGGCAGGAGATGCCAGTTTATACCCAACGGTAGAGTGACTGGGTCAGTCTCGCTCAGGGGTTTTCAGCCTCAGAACTATTGACAGTTAGGGCTGGATAATTCTTTGTTGGGGGTGGACAAGTGCTCTCCTGTACGCTGAGGGATCTTTAGCAGCACACCGCGTCTCTCCCCACTAAAACGTGTCTGGACATTGCCCAATATCCCACAGGAGGGCAGGACATTGCCCCTGGCTGAGCATCGGTGGTCTAGCTTGAGGGGAAGATGAGGAGCCTGAGTTAAGACCGTATGGTGATGGGCTACCAAGTCTAGACATAGTCTGTAGAGAAGAATTTGTGAGCAAGAGCTGACCTTTAACAGAACAAAGGTCCCACCCCCCACCTGCTCCACTGAGATGGAAATAGCATGGGCTCTGAAGTTCAGAGAGACTTAGGTTTGCTTTATTTTTGTTTGTTTGCTTTTTTTTTTTTTAAACTTTATTTATTTTGAGAGAGAGACTATGCATGTGCAGGGAAGGGGCAGAGAGAGAGAGACTGAGGATCCCAAGCAGGCTCTGTGCTGTCAGCATGGAGCCTGACCGAGGGTTGATCTCACAAACCATGAGATCATGACCTGACCTGAAATCAAGAGTCAGACTCCACCGACTGAGTCACTCAGGCACCCCTATTTTTTTTTTTAATTTAAAAAATATTTTTAAAATATACATAAAATTATATACTACCATATGTCATTTTAACTGTATCCATGTGACTGTAGCACATAAATTGTTCTTGTTTTAATGCAGTCTTTTTTTCCTCCTCTTTTCTTCTTTGTGCCTCCCCTCCTCCCACCTTCACCCACATCCCCCCTGCTGTCCTGATACACCATGTTGACAATTTAGTATGCTTGCTTTTACAGTTTATCCATGATCTTAGTGTACCATACATACATCTCGCCATAGCCATTTTTTATAGGCACGTTCAACACACAGAACATTAAAAATGGGATTACATTGCACTTTTCTGCTACGTGGAAATTCTTCCAATTCACTTGGCATTGTCGTCATTTTTTAATGGCCACATAATATTCTACCGTGTGGCTATGCCATAAATTTCCAGCCATTCCACTTTTATGGGTACATTTTGCTTCGAGTTTTTTTGCTCTCAAACAACACTGCAATAAATATCTTTGCAAGTATCCTTCTTACAAGTGCTTTTATTTCTGTGGGATAGAAAAGCAGACATGAGATTGCTGAGTGGAAATGTGTTTCCAATTTTATTAAATATTGCTAGATATTGGTTTCCAAGAAAATACACAATAATTTACATTTCCACCAGCAATACATGATAAGACCCATATCTTTGCCAGCAATTGGTATAGTCTTTTAAATATTTGCCCATATATATATATGATATATATATATACACATATATATATATAAATGATATTGCCTTGTTTCATTGTGTCTTTCTTTGCTTATCAATAAGTGTGAGTACCTTCTTGTTATGTCGGGTCACTTGGAATTGTTCACCGTCAGATACTTATTTATGGGCTTGGCCCATCTTTCGATGGGGTTTTGATAATAAGTGGAAGTTGTTTGTTATTAAAATATTAACTTCAGTCTTTTATGCTGAAGATGATTTCTTTTACTTCTGTTGTTTGTTTGTTTTTGGAATCTCTCACCACAGTAAGATTTTAATTTTTTAGTCAAATGTGTCTCTCTTCTCTTTTACAGCTTCTGGGTTTCCAGTCTTGCTTAAGAAGGTCGCACCCACCCTCAGATTGTACATGTAGTCTCCTAGATTCTCTTTCAGGATTCGTATGGTTTTACTTTTTCTATTTAAGTCTTTGTACATGGTATGACACAGACATCTAATTTTATTTTCTCTCCGATGGGTACTAATTATACCAGCACCATATTAAATGTTCTTTTACCCCCCTCCCCTGGAATTGACCCACTGCCTTCATCCTATATTCTCCTATTTAATAGTTTGTAAGACTTTAAAAAGACAAAAAAGAGGAGCAGCACCAGCATGTGGCTTGCTTTAGCCATGATCTTGTGTCTCGCCTGGTAACCGGGTTGAACCTCAAGGCCTGGAGAGCTCCGTCTCACCATCCCCTGGCTTCCCTTGCAGGTGCTGCTAGCTGATGATGGGGTAGCCCCTCTGCCCACCGCAGGGCCCGTTCAAGAGGACAGATTCCTGCTTGGAGAAAGGCTGTCTCCTCTGCTTCCAGTTCAGTCCATCAAGGAGGAAGAAATCCAGCCCGGGGAGGAAACACCATTCTTGGGGAGACCCATCAAAGTAGAGAGCCCGCCCTTGGAGGAGTGGCCCTCGCCATGCCCAACTGTCAAAGAGGAACTGTCCCACTCCTGGGAGTCTTCGTCCCACTCCCCCACCCCGAGGCCCAAGAAGTCCTACAGCGGGCTCAAGTCCCCAGCCCGGTGCGTCTCGGAAATGCTCGTCATCAAACGAAGGGAGGGACGGGCGATGAGTCGGTCTCGCAGAAAACAGCACCTCCTGCCTCCCTGTCTGGACGAGCCTGAGCTACTCTTCTCCGAGGGCCCCGGGGCTTCCCAGCGAGCCGCAGACCTCACTTTGCCCGCAGCGTCCTCCGAGCCCACCTCCCGGCTTGGCTCCTGCCAGGAGGAGGGAGGACCTTTCAAGACACCCATTAAGGAGACACTGCCCATCTCCTCCACCCCGAGCAAGTCTGCCCTCCCGGTGACCCCTGAATCCTGGAGGCTCACACCCCCAGCCAGAGGGGGGCTAGATTTCAGTCCAGTACAAGCCCCCCCGGCTCCCTTCGGCCCCCTGCCTGATTCCCTGGGGCTGACGGATCTCAGCACCACCCCGCTGAAAAGTATCCCGCTCTTTGACTCACCCCGAGAGCTCCTCAATTCAGAGCCCTTTGACCTCGCCTCTGACCCCTTCAGCAGCCCTTCCCCCTCAGATATGGAAGTCCCCAAGCCAGGCTCCCCCGGGCCACAGGTTGCCAGCCTTTCAGCCAACCGTTCTCTAACAGAAGGCCTGGTTCTGGACACAATGAATGACAGCCTCAGCAAGGTCCTCCTGGACATCAGCTTCCCCGGGCTGGAGGAGGACCCTCTGGGCCCCGACGGCATCAACTGGGCTCAGTTCATCCCCGAGCTGCGGTAGAGGCCCGACCTTACCCTTGCTGCCCAAGCCATCCACGCTTTCAGGAGCTCGTGCGGCTGGGCCACCCAAGCCCTCTGAGTGAGGACGGCAGGCAGGAACCGTCCGCCCCTCTAGCTCCACTTTGCCTGCTTCTGCCAAGGCAGATGTCACACTGTGACTGCCAGTGGGCCCTCTGCAAGCAGCGAGGGCCTGGTGACAGGTCTCTGTGTCACCTGATGCTCCCCAAGAAAATCTGACAATCTGACTCCTCACTCTCCCTGGTAGGAGCTGAAGGGTGAGAACAGCAAAAGAAAGGCTGAGAAGAGATTAGGAACCCCCCAAACTGTGCCTGTGCCCAGCAGTCTCCCACCTTCCCTGCTCCTTGTAAATAGTGTATATTCTCCAAATTAACCTCTAATTATAAATGTAAGCTTATTTCCTTAGATCATTATCTAGAGACTGCCAGAAGTTGGGTAAGGTGACAAGGGGTTTCAGTTTGCTTCTGTTCCTTTTAATTCCCAGAGAAGGGAGGACCTGCAGTGCACGGTTTCTTCCAGGCCCAGGGTACCTGCCTCAAGGGCTCTTCACTGTAGGCACCCAGACAAGCAGATCTGCTTCCTAGGGTCCCTCTTATTGCCCCTCCCTCCCACCTTCCCATGTTTCCAAGTCAGCTTTCCTGCACGAAGAAATCCTGGTAAAAAGGTCTCTTGTAATGAGTCAAGAGTCGAATTGGGGGAGGGGGAATGGATGCGTCTGAAGCAAAGAATGGGTGCCCAATGTGCTCCCAAGAGATGTTTCTCTGATAATGCCCCAAATCATGCCAGAGAGACTAGCATTGCCAAGAACTTGGCCCAAGGCTTGAGAAGACTGAAAGGGCCCTGCCCTGCCTCGCTTCCTTAGCTCACACCTCAGCTTTGCAAGGAGCCACCCTAGGCCCCAGCTGACCACATGCATGTGAACCAGCTCGAGAACACTACCATAACTCAATAAAATCCGGGGTGGAAGTGTGATCTCTGGTGCGTCGGTGTCTGGTCCCTGAGACATAAGGAGGGGCCAGAGAAGAACGCGGGAGATACTGGACATGGTGGGGACAAGGAGGAGGTACAGCCTGAAGCCGAGAAGAAGCACATGAAGGAGAGTGCCAAGGGCTTTGGGCTGGACTGCCTCCCACACTGAACGGTCACATTTTTTTAGCACAGAAACTAGTAGCTTTTTCTTAAGAACCTCTGAAACTGATGGTTAACTTAGGCCTTTTAGAGCTCCCTGTAAGGGAAAGGCCTGCAGAGGGCCAGGACCCTCCCCTCCTGGAGTATTAGGGAAGGATGGGCACAGTTCTAGATGCCTCCTGACCACCTCCACCCTAATCCAGGGCCAGGAAGCCAGCCTGCCCTGCTGTTCTCTTCCTGCCCTCCTAGGCAAGTCCCCAGAAGCCCCCCTGGTTACCATCTTTTGCAATCCAAACTTAGGAGTCCTATCCCATGCCTGTCTTACCTGAAAGGCATCCAGGGCCCAGGGGACTGATGAGCCCTCCTAGGGAGCATCACCATAGCAACCCCAACAGCAAACAATGCTGCCAGGAAAGTCTTCCCTACCAAGCCGCTCCTCCTGGCAGTCAGGCCCAGAAGAGGGATGGCCAGTAGCCCACAAAGACAACTCAGAGGGCGGAATAATCCACCCCATGTCCAAGAACCTATCTTGCAGGTAGGAGGTGGGGCCCCATCTCTACAGCCTATCTGTTTGCACCCTGCTGAGCTAAGGACTCCCCCTGGGATGGCCATACTTTCCTCTGGTCAGTAGATCTGGCTCAGAGCTCTCCACTGCCTTCCTCTCTTAATCCTATGCTACTGTGAACACAGAGCTCTGAGCAGAGGAAAGGAGATGGCTAGTTATTAGACCTCCCAGCCCTACCTACCGGGGTGATCCTGTGGAAATGGCAGGCGAGTAGGCCCAAGAGACAGGTGAGCTTTTAGAAGCAAAGTCCTCGGGTGGAAAGGAGGGAGAGGTATTGTAGAAGAGCATATATGATAAATAGCGCAGACAGACGGCTCAAGTCCCAGCTCTGCCACTCAGGTGAGTTATTATTTACCCTCATGGGGTCTCTTTGCATCTCTGAGATGGGACAGTAACAACACTCTCGGGGTTGTGAGAGTTAACTGAGTTGTAGATGTATTTAGCACAGTGTCAATACATATTTGCTACTGTTTATTTCACCGGGAGGTGGGACACAAAAAAGAGACGGAAGCATCCTGCTAGATGTTTTCCATACCTGCTTGTATTTGGAGGAGAAGTGAGGGAAATGCAGCAATGACGGAGAAACGAGTAACAGGTGGAGTCGGGGAGAGAAGAGCTCCCTGGGCTGCATTCTCTGGAGACAGAGCTTCCTGCTATGTGTTGCGCGGTACTATGCGTTGCCGGGTAACGGGCACTAACCCCCACCACCAGTTTCCCCGGGCCTGACGTGCCCTGTTAGGAGCCCCAGCTCCTGGCAGGAGCGCGGGGGAGCCAGAGCGCAGAGACACAGAGTAAAGCGTGGAGAGCAGGGAAATCAAAACCTAACAGACCAGACGGAGGGAGAGAGCGAAAGCTGGGGAATCCTGCAGGGCCGACGGAACTTCCGACGGCGGGGCAGGCGCAGGGCAGACGGAACTTCCGACGGCAGGGCAGGCGCGGAGAGACGGCTTCCGGCACGCGGCCAGTGTCCCGATGAGAGTCCGGGGTCCGAGGAGGCCGGCAGCTTGCTCCCTCTGCGCCTGCTCCGGGGACACAGAGGCCGAGAGGTCCCCCAGGCTCCCTTTTGTCTTTCCCTAGATGGCCCGCGCCATTGAGCCCCTCCCGACCTACCAGTCGCGGGCTCAGCGTGAGTTCCTCCTCCCCCGCGAGCCCGGGGAGTGGCCCGGCTTCACCCCGCAGGTCTACCACCGGCTGGCCCTGAAGCCGCCGCCCTGCACCGAGGTGAAATCCGAGGTGCGCCGCAGACTGATCCGCCCTTGGAAGGACGCAGCGCCGCACACGTGGGGCTTTCACACGTGGCTCGACGTGGGCCGTTTGCCCGCCACCTTTCCCACCAGGCCCGACAGGCCCTACGACAGCAACGTGTGGCGCTGGCTGACAGACTCCGGGGCCCGCGGCCGCCCCCCAGCGGAGCCCCCCATCCCCCCGCCCTCCTGGATGGGTCCCAACAGCTTTCTGACCTTCATCCGCTGTACTCCCAACTTCGCCGACGGCCACAGGAAGAAGCAGGTGACCGCCAAGACGGTGCGGGAACTGAGAGAGCTGGAGAAACTCAAGCTGAGGAGTGAAGCCAGGGCACCACCCCTCGATGCCAAGGGCAACATCCTGCCCCCGAAGAACTTCAAGAAGTAAGAGGAGCTCCTTCCTCAGGGGTGGCCCCTCCCTCTCTCTCTGATTCGCGTTTCTGATGCCTACCTTGGTATCCTAACCTTCCCTGCCTTTGGTCATCTGACAACTAAACTGTTCTGAATGTAGCTCGAAGGAAGGTATGGGGGCAAGAGAGGGGACAGCCAGGGGAGGGGCTGAACCATTTAACTAGAATGCAGGGGTTACAAGTAGGTGCTTAACACCTGGTAGGCCCTGGCTAGAGAGAGATATCATCCAGTCAGTTCGCAGGGACCTTATGAAAGGCAGAGACCTACCACACGTGGAAAGTCAGCTAACCATACAAGCCCACACGTGCTATGTGCCCCAGGTGTGACACAGAGAGCGCCTGTGGTAAGGATATCAATTACTGGTGGAAAAACCCGAGATCTGGAGTCAGAGGTTTAGGTTAAGGTCCAGACGAGGCAAATTGTTCCGTTCTTCCAGACTCAATTCCATCATCGGTAAAATGGGGACGGTAAACACCATGTCTACCAACCTGGGCGAAGATAAAATGGGTTAACAAATATATGAGAGCATGATACAAAAAACAGATGTTACTACATAAATTCAGAAGAAGGAGGGGTTGCTGTGGGCTGGAGCCTCCCCCCAGGAAGGCTTCGTGCAGAAACCGGGTGAAGGCTGGAAGGGTAGGAAAAAGGGGATGGAGGGTTGACTGGTCTAAGAAGAGACAGGAGTGTGGAATGAGTTACTGGAGTTCACACATCTCTCCCTACTGTGTCCAGTCTAGGTGAGAGGATGAGAGGCAGGAAAGGGGGTGGGGAATAAGGACAGAATATCTCAAGTTCCAATCCCAAGGGTATCAACAGAAGTCTTGGGGGTTTGGAGGGGAGGCTGTGGAGGTTTTTGATTTTTTTTTTTTAATGCCAGCGGTTGGTGATTTTGATAGAAGATCATTCAGGACCTTGGCTTCTCTCTGCAGCCCTCACAGTACAGATTATTGGTTGCTAGTATGTGCTAACACGAGGGATGCAAAGGTGATAAGACTTAGATCACTCCTCAAAAAATAAAAATAAACTTCAGTGAAATGATAGTGCCGGAGGTTCTAATCACTTGAGCTCTATTATTTATAACCCCTCACCACCCCGAATAGAAACTGTTACTGTCAACCCCATTTTACAGAGGGGGCATCTGAAACAGAAAGGTCACTTATTTCGCCCAAGTTCATATGGCCAGGAAGTGGCAGAGCTGGGATCTGAACCCAGAGAGCTCAGTTTTGAAACTGCATTCTTAACCTCTATGTTCCGCTTCCCCTCCTGTCCACCTGGGGAATCAAACAAGTTCACAGCTACTCCTGATGTGATATAAGGTGCTATAAAGACAGCATAAGAGGAATACAATTATCCATGAAAAGAGCTGAGCATGATGCTTGGCAAACAGTAAACCTGTGTGTGATGGTAGAAGCCACATGGGTTCAAGAGCCAAACACATCTTAGGTTGCAGCCTAGCCAGCTCAGTCACAAACTTGCTATACAACAAAGTAACGTGACTTTCTTCAGGCCTCACTTCCTCAAGTCTGTATTGGAGATGTACCTGGTACCTTGCAGGGTTGTTCGAAGACAAAAAGGCAGGGGTGCCTGGTGTAGACAGGGGGCTCAGTAAATCCTGTAATTAGTACATCGTCCCCGTGAGAGAAGGCTCCTCTGTTTGCTGCTGGAGGCCCAGTCCCTGGAGCCAGGAATGGAGTCCCAGGCAAGGTTTTACTGTTCACAGAGGACGTGGTACGTGAGCTGGACCTTGAAGAATATGTGCAAGTTCATCAGGTGGGACGAAGACAGAATGGTGGGAAGAAAGGCCCATCCAGTCCTGTTATTCCTTTTGAGCAGTTCTTTTGAGGCGTTAAAAAATAGTCTAAAAATGTCTCCAGATCAGTGAGCGAACACATTTAGAGCATAAGAGACCCAGAAAGGACTTCAGACAGGTCTAAGCTTCAAGAAGTCCATGATATTGGTGCAAAATAGAACATTTATACATAAACCCATGATATTGCTGGGAAATAGAACATTTATACATACCCATGACATTGCTGAGAAATCAAACATTTTTACATAAATAGAAGATTTCTATATATACATAAACCCATTTACACATACATCAACTCTGGTAGTACATTACAACCACCTGGGTCTTTTTAAAAAATATGTGAGCCCCACCCATGAGATTCTAACTTAGTTGGCCTGGGGAGTGGGCAGCCTGAACACCAGAATTTGTAAAAGGCTTCTAGGAGTGGGGCACCTGGGTGGCTCAGTCGGTTAAGCCTCCAACTTCGGCTCAGGTCCTGATCTCATGGTTTATGAGTTCAAGTCCCGCATCAGGCTCTGTGCTGACAGCCCAGAGCCTGGAACCTGCTTTGGATTCTGTGTCTCCCTCTCTCTCTGCCCCTTCCCTGCTTGAACTCTGTCTGTCTCTCTCTCAAAAATAAATAAACATTAAGAAGAATTTTTCAAAAGGCTCCTAGGAGTGATTCTAATGTAGAGCCAGACCTGAGAATGTCTGATAAACCAAAAACAGTAAACAGGGGGACATCTGCTGGACAAGCTGCAAAGCATGTTGAAACAGGAAATTTGCCACTATTCACCTATGTCTTTAAAAGTCCATTTCTCTCGGTTGACCCTAACACTACAGGCCTGTAGAAGAGGGAGCCATCAGACCAGGTGTCCCGTGGCAGCAGGTCAGAGCAGGAAGGGCTCTGAGACATCATCACGTTCACCAGTGATGAGAAGGAGCCCTTGAGCTTCATTCTTTCTTTTTGCTGGTACTGTGTGAGCAGAGGAAGTGGGACTGAAAGATGGAATCTGCATAATGAGATACAGACAATATGTAAAAAGGATGGGGGATTGACCATCTACACAACATCACTTCACCATCCTAACACCAAATACACAGGATGCATGCTGTATGGCATAGACCAATATCCAATCAGGAGAAGACACAGAAGCTATTCCCTACAACATGATCACTTGCTAGCTTGTGTTAGATTAATAGAAAAATATTGGCAGAACATGGCTTTATACCTCAGTCTCAGGATGTGCACAACAAATATAATTTCAGAATATAAATACGTTATTTCTTAGGGCACTGACATCAATGACGACAGTTGGGCAGGCTTTCCCACCATCAAAATCTAACAGGATCCCAAGGATGATTCTTTCTTATTTTGAACAATATTAGTTTGGGATCTTCATTGGTTGGCGTTTTATCATTGTCATAATTTGAAATGAGTCAGATTTTTTTTTGAAAGCCTACATAATTTGTTTTTCAATTATAAATAGTTTATTGTCAAGTTGGTTTCCATATAACACCCAGTGCTCATCCCCACAAGTGCCCTCCTCCATGCCCCTCACCCCACTCCCACTCCCTCCACCCCATCTGCCCTCAGTTTGTTCTCAGCATTCAAGAGTCTCTCATTGAAAGCCTACATAATTTTTTAAATTAATCTCTACACCCAACATTCAGTCTCAGACTCCACACCCTGAAATCAAAAGTCGGATCTATTGACTGAGCCAGCCAGCCTCCCCAAGTCCTTAGAATTTTTAAGCATGATTTGATATTTAATACTCAGGCTTTTCAAAAAATGTTCTTTCAAAAGGAACATGAAGAATTCTAAATTTGAGGCTCACTTTTGTAGCATTGTGAAAATAAACTTTGACAAGGCTATGAAAAAAAGCCTCAAGCTTTTCCTTCTTACTCCTTCCACATGCCTGCATCTCTCTTTTGACCTCTCTGTTCTCTCCACGCCCCTTTCCTCCCACAGGTACCGGCACATCTCAGCTGGCGGCAGGTTTGAGCCTAGAGGCCTCCAGCTCATGCCCAACCCACTTCCCAATGATTTCGCCAGGGGCTGGCCCTGCCCGAACCCTCTGCCTCATTACCAGGAGAAGGTGCTAAAACTGGCCTTGCTGCCTAGTGTGCCCCTGAGCCGGGACCTCCTGAGGGATTACCAAGCCCTGATAGAGAACCGGGTTGCCTTGCCCCTCTGTCAGCTCTCTAAGGCACAACCTGGTAAAACCTTAGCAAGGAAGACCAAGAGAAAGCCTGGACAGATCTAGAAAAGCCGCCAGCTGGGCAGAGACCACGGTGGGCTACAGTGTTCTCAACCAATGCACCTTCGGCAAGAAGCCTCTGGGTGGCTGAACGACTGGCTTCTGCAGAACAGAGCCTGTCCACCATCCCTCCAGCTGCGGGCTACTTCTGTCCCTCAGGCTCCCGGACACTCTACTGAAACTCTAAATGATGATCTGTCTTCCTTGGAGGACTCTCTCACAGCAGGTGGGAGGACTGAGTTGGGTAGAGCAAGGGAGAGAAGAAAGGGATACAGGTTTTAGAGACAGAATGAGGAGTGGGGAGGAAGAAGGTGTGTGTGTGTGTGTACGCGCGCGTTGGGATGGGGGAAAAGGCGCTGTGAGAAATGTGGATAAGAAGTTACCTTTACCCCCATAATCCATTTGGAACAGAACTGGGATTGGGCAGGGTACAGGCAGGTTCTTAGGCAAAATAACCTCAATTCCACACACACCCCCTAGACCATTTGATGTTGGACAAAGGCCAGAAGCAGCTCTGCTGGGTTGGGTTGCAGTTCCCACGCAGCGTTTGGGGGAGCAGAGGTCAGGCCACGGCTAGTGCCGGAGGATGGAGGAGTCAGGTCTGAGGACGGAGGACCAGGGCTCTGTGGAGGGACGAGAGTACAAGGTAGAGATTCATAGTAAAACAGTGGTCACCCCAGAGCATTACGTCAGGGCCTTGGGCCTGTGTTGCAGTCAAACCCAGAAGCTTTAGCTTTTGTCATGGGGGCCAGAGACAAGACGCCTGGAGTGGAGGCAGGCAAACCGGGTTGGTCAGAAAGGTGCTGACCCAGCGAGACTGGGTATGGGAGGCGCAGTAGAAGGGGCGGCAGGGAGGTGGCTGGAAGGGGAGAAGTTGTACGGTGGGGGCCCACCTCACCTCCTCCTGCCCCCGTCACAGCCCAAGTTGGTCATCTTCTTCAGCTGGGCTTCTCTTGGCCTTCTGGCCCCTGTCCTCTGCCCACTTTTCTCGAGCCCCTTAAGTACCTGGGAATCAAAACCCCACCAGGCTCCTAGCCCTGGTTTAACCACTGACCAGCTCTATGACCTTTGGGAAGAGCATTGTTACCCTCAGGCTCTTAGTTTCCTCCTCGGCACAGTGGGAGTTATGAGGCTACAATTAAGTGGCATAAAGCCACTGGCACATTGTAGGCCCTCCATAAACGAAGATATCAACCAATCATTACTCATGGGATGAAAACAACGGATGGGGTATTACTCAGTCATAAAAAGGAATGAAGTACTGATTCTTGCTACAGTGTAGATGAACCTCGACAATATCACACTGAATGAAAGAAGTCAGACACAAAAGGCTGTATATGGGATGACTTTATTTACATGAAAGATCTAGAATTGGTAAATCCATAGGGACAGAGGGTAAATTGCCGGGTGCTGGGGGAGGGGGAAATGGGGACTGACTGCTCAGTGGGTACAGGGTTTTCTTTTAGGGTGGTGAAAATATTTTGGAACTGAAAAAAGTGGTACTTGCACGACATTATGAATGAACAAAATGCCACTGGATTGTACACTTTAAAAATAGTAATTGTTTGGGGCGCCTGAGTGGCTCAGTCAGTTAAATGTCGGACTCTTGGTTACATCTCAGGCCATAATCTCATGGTTCGTGAGATCGAACCCCACACTGGGATCTGCACTAACAGTGCAGAGCCTGCTTGGAATACTCTCTCTCCCTTTCTCTGACTCTCCCCTGCCCCCTCCCCCTCTCTCAATAAACTTTTAAAAAATGGTAGTCATTTTGTGATGTGAACTTCATCTCAATTAAAAATAATTACAGGAGCGCCTGGGTGGCTCAGTCAGTTAAGTGTTCGACTTCAGCTCCAGTCGTGATCTCAGAGCACGTGAGTTTGAGCCCTGTGTCAGGCTCTGTGCTGACAGCTCGGAGCCTTGAGCCTGCTTCAGATTCTGTGTCTCCCTCTCTGTCCCTCCCCTACTTGTTCTCTCTCTCTCTCTCAAAAATAAATATTAAACAAAATTAAAAATAAAATAAAAATGATTACAATAAACAGGGTGTGATATAGTGAGTTTCCAAATTTCTTTCTAGTTCCAAATCTATAGTTCTATTAATAGTCCTCCTCCTTAACATTTCTCCCCCTGATATGTATGCGGGGGGGGGGGGGGGGGGGGACGACCAGAGCCAAAGGGTGGAGGAGAATTCTCTGAGTACTCCAGGGGCATGACAGAGCTCTGGGAGTGTGCCCATTCTCCCCACTCTGGGTTAGGAATAATGGTAGAAAGGGGCGCCTGGGTGGCTCAGTCGGTTAAGCGTCCAACTTCGGCTCAGGTCATGATCTCGCAGTTCGTGGGTTCGAGCCCCGCGTCGGGCTCTGTGCTGACAGCTAGCTCAGAGCCTGGAGCCTGTTTCAGATTCTGTATCTCCCTCTCTCTGACCCTCTCCTGCTCATGCTGTCTCTCTCTCTCTCAAAAATAAATAAAACATTAAAAAAAAAAAAAGGAATAATGGTGGAAAGCAGGAGGTCCCCTTACCTAGGATCCTAACACATCAGAACTGGGCAAGCCGTGAGGACACAAGTTGAATCTCCTCAGTGTTTAGATGGCCATCTGAGGCCCACGGACAAGTAACTTGCTCGGGGCCACAAAGCCCAACAGTTCCTGCCCCTCCTGGCAGTAGAAAGGAGGCTGGGAGCCAGGACTCAAGGGCTTGTTTTTCCATCCTGCCTCTCTTCTGTTATTCTACTTCTGCCCATGATGCCTGGGTTTTGTCATCTCCACAACGAGAGGCCCTGGGGAAACTTAGAGGGTTGATATGAAGGTTTGCGGAGTAGGAAGAAGTAGGCCACTGGAGTTCTTCAGAGAAGCCCACCTACCCCCTGGCCTGGAAGGTGTGGGAAAGCAGAAAGGTAAGAAAGTCCATGCACTCACATGGACTCCTGCCTTGGCAGACCCAGACCACTTTGAAGGTTGCTAGCCTCACGTCAGAAGGACTTCCATCCCACCCACCAGCCGTCTGCTCTGCCTTCTCTGGATAGCAATCTTCTCACTGCTGGCAGGGGGACCACAGCATTATGGGAGGTCGTCTTATCCACCGGCCAGCCTGAACCGCAGAAGCAACTCTGGAAATTCCTGAACTGCAGTGGGCCGTGGAGATCTGAGGGACAACGATAGTATTCATACACCCTCCTGGCCTGGGACTTTTCCAAGGCTATCCCCAGTTCAGCCTGCTGGCAGCCATGAACATCCCTTACCCCCGAAACATACACTCATGAATATGGCATCCTTGAAAGCCTCTCTTGGGGTGGAGCAAGGGATTCCAGGTCTGCCTTAGTGATCTACTCTCTCACCACAACTTTTTTTTAAGTGTAAGTTTATTTTTAAGAGAGAGAGAGACAGGGTGTGAGCAGGGGAAAGGCGTAGAGAGAGGGAGACACAGAACCTGAAGCAGACTCCAGGCTCTGAGCTGGCAGCACAGAGCCCTATGCAGGGCTTGAACTCATGAACCATGATATCTTCAACTGAGCTAAAGTCAGAGGCTTAACCAGCTGAGCCACCCAGGCGCTCCTCACCACAACTTTTGAGGGGAAGCAGGGTGAACATCACTCTCCTGACATATCCAGCACACCAACCCCACGGGACACCTTGTGCTCTGCTGAATGCCACAAGCCTCATGGAAACTGATGAATCTCACCCAGCACAGAGGCCTCAGAACTGCTTCTGCGTCCACACTTCCCCTTCTTCAACCACCAGGTTTAGTCTCACGAGCTAGGTGGCCAAGGCCAGTTCAGATCCCCGAGTTACTGGGGCCTGAGGAATGGATGAGTGCTGGAGGCTGTGGGACTGGGAGCCCCTGGGGGAGATGCAGGGCCAGCCACATTGCCAACCATGATCTTCAGTCTTCGTTCTTCAGCTGGCTGTCTGCCAGGGTTGTCCTGTGTAATTGCCATGTCTTAAAAAGCCCCACTGCTGCCCCCCTATGTGACAAATCAGACATTCTCTCTCCAGGCTTCCCCAGACTCACTTCCCACCTTCCTCAGGGCCCTCTGCCCTCTCATTTCTACTCATCACTGACCCACTTACTCCAAGCCCTTCGTCTTCTTGCTTCTCATCCACTTCCAAGCCCTCTCCTACTTGTACTGTCGACTGAACCACATACATGTATTTGTTTACAGTGTAAACCATTGCTTCTTCCTATTTATCATCTTATTTAGTGGTTTTCTGTGGCTACTCATACAGTCCCCCATCTCATGGTAATCTCAAGCCAACCCGCACTCTACGGGTCCCAGGACAGAACCTCACAAACGCCTCCACGCCTGTAAGTTAATGCTATTGCATCTTGCCCTTGTTCAGAGGTAAAGGTTTAGCTGGGAGACTCCCCTCGGCCCACCATCACTCCCACTGGATGTCCACTGAACACTGACACTAGGTATCATACGTGGCTTCTAGAAAATAGTCGCTGACTTTGTTAGCACGAGTATCACTAGGAAACGAAGGTCATGTCCAGAGGTGCCAAGGGCAGGCAAGGAGGAGGGGAGAAATGGAGAGAAATGGAAGCAGGAAGAAAGCAGATAAACGCAAGAAGGAGGAGAAATGTTGAAGCCAGAGGAAAGGCAAGACAGGAGTCTCTGAAGCTCAGAGGTCCAGAATATTTGGTGGCGTTGGGCAGCTTGGTCAGATCCTCTGAGGGTGTTTACAGGATCCAGATTCGGCAAAGAGACCCGCAGATGAGAAGAGTTGGCAAATAAGTCCTCTAGGTGCACAGGAAAGGGGGGATGAGTACTCTGGGGTCTTGAGTGATCTCCTAGGGCGTTAGTTGGATTCTGCGGCTGAAAAACTCTGGTGGGGAACTCGACAGGCTGTTCTAGTGCCTCATCACCTGCATAGATGGGGTAATAACTATGTATTTCCTCCTCTGCCCACTGGAGTCCTGCTGCCCACTGCATTCAACTAATTTTGTGTAAGAAGAGAGAGAAAAGATACAGACAGAAAAAGACCCACCTTTAGAAAGCCTAGGATCTGGTGAAGGTAGACAAGTAAACGATTAAAAACAGTGTAAGAAATAATGTCATGGATAACCGACCCAGTTGTACTCTGGGAGCGAGAGGGAGAGGCATCTAAGAGTGTGCATGTGCGTGCAAGCACACACACCTGTATGTGTATGTACAGTTTCCAAATAATAGCAAACATTTACTCCGTACTTATGTGTTAGGCAATGTCTTGAGAACTTTTCAAGAATCGCCCCATTTAATTCTCACATGCTATCAGATAGATCCCTCTATGATCTCTGTTTTAGAGATGAGTGAACTGAGGCCTGGAAGGGCCCCTAACCATTTTGCTATTCTGCCTCTCATGTAAACTTCACAGCGATTCTACAATTACATGTCATTTCAGTTTTACAGTGAGGAAATGGATTCCAAAAGATTAAGCACTTCACTCAGAGTCACCCAGTTAGTTAATGGCTGAGCTGCAATGCTTGACCAAGCTTGTCTGAGTTCAATATACCGTGTTCAGTCTGTTTTCATCAATAGAGATGAACAGTTGAACTTTCTGTGACTTGGTTTTGCCACCCACAGAATAGGAAAAAATTATCCAAGGGTCAGATATAAAAAGTCGTCTTAGGCTGGTAGTTTTTGGGGTGGAGGTAGGGTGATACGTTTTGAAACGGGTACAGCCTCCTGGGACCCTTGCTGGACAGGAGAATTCTGGAGAACAGCTTCATTCCTGTCCTCAGCAGATCTGACAGGGCCAGAGAAAGCCTGAAATAGAACTGGCTGCCCTTAACCTTCCCTGGGCTCAAGGGAGCTGTTTGTCTACTCTGAATAACCCATTCTATGTAGAATATTCTGGGAATTTCCTTATGTGGCAGAGCAATGTCTGGGTGATTTCCCTGTGCCAAATAAGCTTTCCTTCCCATCCCTACCATCAGAGATAAGAACTGAAACTAGTCAGCCTTGAAGAAAAAAGGTTACAAAGAAGAGGTATAAAGATATTTAGAGGCATGAAAGCATATCACAAGGAAGGTGGGAACCAATTCATCTCTATCTCTACCGAGGCTTGGACACGAAGGCGAGGATTTTGAATGTAGGTACAGGGATTTAGATTAGATGTAAAGGAGAACTCCCTGAATCAGTGGAGAGTTGTTGGAGTAGATTAGATCAGGTTCAAGGAACCAGCTGTGAATCTATTTGGACCAGCGCCACCCAATAGAAATATAATAGACCCATATATGTAACCTTAAATTTATTAGTTGCCACATTAAAAAGGTAAAAAGAAACTGGTGAAGTTCGTTTTTATAATGTACTGTATTTTAACACAGTAGATCTGAAATATTATCAACATAAAATAATGTATTCCAGGTACAAATAATTGAGATATTTCACATTGTTATTTTGTATGGTTTTCAAAATCTGGTGTATATTTTACACTTATAGCAAAGCTCTCTTCAGCCTAACCACACCTCAAGTGCTCAATAACCGTATGTAGCTGGAGACTGACGTATTGGTCAGCACAAATCTAGACTTGCTAAGGATTGTCTGACACCCAATGGCAAGTATAAGGTGTGGTCTGGTTTCATCTGAAGGCAGAAAGTTCTCGAGAGACCTGAGGGCCTATGACGGTGAAAGTCAAGAAAACCTTACCTTAGGAGGCCCTCTCAGCTTTCCTCATTGCCAGAAATACAAAGACCCATCACCCTCTGGCTGTTCTCAGAACCCATGCAGCAGTGTTCTGTGCTCTCTTTCAGCCGAGGGAATCGCAGCTCCCTCAGGGGTGTCGGACTCAGGGTTTGGCGGCTTGCTAACCCAAATGGGAAGAGCCCTGTGCGAAGGAGAGCAAGGAAGAGGGCGCATCCTGGGGTAGACGAGATGGCTCTATTCTCTCCATGGCAGGACACAATGCTTGATACCCCAGTCAGTCTTCCCGGTGCAACTGACTGCTCACCGAGGAGCCGGGCTGGCCCGAGGGGATTGAGACGTGTAAATCCAACCTGCCTAGGGTGTGTGTGAGGACAAGCACTGCCCCAGCCTACCTTATCTTACCTGAGTAATACTCTGAGTTCTCTGTGTGGAACGCCCTTCCTCCAGGTATGTGCACAGCCTTCACCTTGTTCTCATCTCTGCAATGTCATCCACCCACCCCCTCCCCCCATCCTCTCTCTCCTCTCACCCTGCTCTAGTTTTCTTCAGCAGTTACCACAACCTGACATTATAAATGTCCTTGCTCCTTGTCTGCCTTCCTTCTTACAATGTGAACTCCATGAGGGCGGAGCCTACATCTGGTTCACCATCTTAGGCCCAGAGCCGACCTCAGCATCCGACATATAGTAGGCACTCGATAAATATTTTTTGACTGAAAGAAAGGAAAACTTGCTATAATTCAGAGTGAGAGCCAAATCTCACACTTACATTTTTCTTCTCGTGAAATTTCTGAATCTGGATCCTTCACTTCAACATCTATGTGAACCACAAGATGAAATAAGTGAGAGAAATTACAGATATTTCCCAAGTGTCTTGGAAGGGAATCTTCACTTCCTCTGTTCCTCACAGTAGAAGACTGGTTTACTTCATGAACAGTGCTTCTGGAAGCCTTCTCTCCCTGTGTCTCATCATTAGAGCTCAATGTAGTTATTCCTTGTTAATGAATTGGTTTGTTGAATTCTATAACCTTAGTTAAAAAATGACCAGGGGATGGGGCACCTGGCTGGCTCATTAGAAGGGTGTGTGACTCTTGATCGTAAGTTCAGGCCCCATGTTGAGTATAGAGATTACTAAAAATAAATAAGCTAAAAAAAATGACCAGGGGAGGAAAGTGAGGTAAGTTATTGGCAAAGACACAGACCACCGGCTGAGGATAAAAACATTCCCTGGCACTCTCCACCATCTTTTTTTTTTTTTTTTTTTTAACAGTT